CCATGGCCAGGGAATTCCGGGATCATCCATGGCCAGGGAATTCCTGCTTCATCCATGGCCAGGGAATTCCTGCCTCATCCATGGACAGAGAATTCCAGGATCATCCATGGCCAGGGAATTCCTGCTTCATCCATGGATAGGGAATTCCTGCCTTGTCCGGCTGCTGCTTCCGGGAACCTGGAATTCTTTGGGGTTTGTGGTGCAGGGGAGCTGGAAACAGGGAAAACTGGATCTGATCCAGGGATCCAGGGGGTGAAAGGGGCTTGTTCCCAAAGCACTTGGGATTTAAAGGTGTTTGTTCCCAAATCCCCTGGGATTTTAACCAGGGTCTGAAAGGTGTTTGTTCCAAAATCATTTGGGATTTTTAATTGAGGTGTGAAAGGTGTTTGTTCCCAAAGCACTTGGGATTGGAAGGTGTTTGTTCCTAAATCAGTTGGAGTTGAAAGGAGTTTGTTCCCAAATCACCTGGGATTTTTAATCAAGGTTTAAAAGGTGTTTGTTCCTAAATCAGTTTGGGATTTTAACCAGGGTCTGAAAGGTCTTTTCCTAAATCATTTGGGTTTTTAATCAAGGTGTGAAAGGTGTTTGTTCCTAAATCATTTGGGATTGAAAGGTGTTTGTTCCCAAATCCCCTGGGATTTTTACCCAAGCTGTGAAAGGTGTTTGTTCCTAAATCATTTGGTGTTTTAACCAGGGATTGAAAAGTGTTTGTTCCCAAATCATTTGGGATTGAAAGGTGTTTGTTCCTAAATCACTTGGGGTTTTAGCCAAGGTGTGAAAGGTTTTTACTCCTAAATCACCTGGGATTTTTGACCAAGGTCTGAAAGATGTTTGTTCCTAAATCACTTGGGATTGGAAGGTTTTTGTTCCTAAATCATTTGGGATTGGAAGGTGTTTGTTTCTAAATCAGTTTGGGATTTTTACCCAAGTTATGAAAGGTGTTTGTTCCTAAATCATTTGGGATTGAAAGGTGTTTGTTCCTGAATCAGTTGGGATTTTAACCAAGGTGTGAAAGGTGTTTGTTCCCAAATCCCTTGGGATTTTTACCCAAGCTGTGAAAGGTGTTTATTCCCAAATCATGTGGTGTTTTAACCAGGGATTGAAAAGTGTTTGTTCCTAAAGCACGTTGGGATTTTTAATCAGGGTTTGAAAGGTGTTTGTTCCTAAATCATTTGGGATTGGAAGGTGTTTGTTCCCAAATCACTTGGGATTGAAAGGTGTTTGTTCCCAAATCACTGGAGGATTTTGACCAAGGTCTGAAAGGTGTTTGTTCCTAAATCAGTTTGGGATTTTTACCCAAGCTGTGAAAGGTGTTTGTTCCCAAATCACTTGGGATTTCAACCAAGGTCTGAAAAGTGTTTGTTACTAAATCAGTTTGGGATTGAAAGGTGTTTGTTCCCAAACATATGGGGTTTTTAATCAAGGTTTGAAAGGTTTTTGTTCCCAAATCCCTTGGGATTTTAATCAAGGTCTGACAGGTGTTTGTTCCCAAATCGTTTGGTGTTTTAACCAGGGATTGAAAGGTGTTTGTTCCTAAATCACTTGGGATTTTAATCAGGGTCTGAAAGGTGTTTTCCTAAATCAGTTGGAATTTTAACCGAGGTGTGAAAGGTGTTTGTTCCTAAATCACTTGGGATTGAAAGGTGTTTGTTCCCAAATCATTTGGGATTTTTAACCAAGGTCTGAAAGGTGTTTTCCTAAATCATTGGGGTTTTAAGTCAAGGTTTGAAGAGTGTTTGTTCCTAAATCATTTGGGATTTTTAACCAGGGTCTGAAAGGTTTTTGTTCCCAAATCCCTTGGGATTTTAACCAAGGTCTGACAGGTGTTTGTTCCTAAATCATTTGGTGTTTTAACCAGGGATTGAAAGATGTTTGTTCCTAAATCACTTGGGATTGAAAGGGGTTTGTTTCCAAATCAGTTGGGATTTTTAATCAAGGTTTGAAAAGTGTTTGTTCCCAAATCACTTGGGGTTTTAACCAAGGTCTGAAAGGTGTTTGTTCCTAAATTATTTGGGGTTTTAGCCAAGGTGTGAAAGGTTTTTATTCCTAAATCACCTGGGATTTTTAAGCACAGTCTGAAAGGTGTTTGTTCCTAAATCACTTGGGATTTTTAATCAGGATTTGAAAGGTGTTTGTTCCCAAATCACTTGGAGTTGGAAAGTGTTCGTTCCTAAATCATTTGGGATTTTAAGCAGGGTCTGAAAAGTGTTTGTTCCTAAATCACTTGGGATTGAAAGGTTTTTGTTCCCAAATCATTTGGGATTGAAAGCTGTTTGTTCCCAAATCAGTTGGGACTTTTAACCAGGGTCTGAAAGGTGTTTGTTCCTATATCAGTTTGGGATTTTTACCCAAGATATGAAAGGGGTTTGTTCCTAAATCAC